TACTTAGGACTTGATCATTTGTGCATATCATGTAAAATGAGCAGTTGTGCACATATACACTAAAATGTTAGATCATTTTGCGATTTTTAGAAACTCTGGACTTTTCAATAGTAGATCTACGGAGATGCTATTCACATCCAACAATAACAGTCACAGTGTTTTCTTTCCCACTGTGATTGTGGATAAACCTACCATACCTTCTTTAGATGTGGCTAATGAAACCATTCAGACTAAAACCAAAACTAAATCATGTAAAAGAAAGTGAAATGTTTGTACTGCAGATTTTTAAAATATGGAAAAAGGATGGGACGCAAGATGATGTAAACAGAACTAATTTGCTTTTTGTTCCAAAACAGCCCGGCTGACATCTAAATTGCAGGAACAAAATTCTTGAACAACACATAAGTCTCAGACTAGTATTAACTATCAAAACATCAGGACTGTTCTGACTAGCAAAAGCCCCCTTTCTAAACTGATTATTCCTTCCAGGAGCATGCAGCAAGGTATAGTGCTGTGTCCCAGGGACACAGTATCACCACCTACTAAAGTAATGTTACTGAGCCAATATCAATTACATTAGAACATAATTAGAGCTGACTGTATAATCAATTTTTGATTCAATGGCTGAACTGAAAAATCCAAAAATATGCTGGTAGTTTTTAAACTAAATTGATTTTTTTCTTGCCAAAATTGGAGGCAAAAAGAGGGAGGGGAGTCAATTTAACTTAACATTTAACAAAGAAAAAAACTGTCAAATTGACTTTTTAAAAAATCCTATATTTTTTATTCACTTGAAACTGCATTTTTTAGCAAATTTACTAACTGCTAAAAACATTCACCCAACCCTAAATGCAATCTATTCAGGGCAGAACCAATCTCTTATTATGTTTACATACAGCATGTAGCACCATGGGGCACTAATATCAATTGGGGTCATTGGACCCTACTTTAATACTACTACAGTAAAACAAATAATTGTTATGTATTACAGTGAAAAGCAATTACTTAGGACTTGATCATTTGTGCATATCATGTAAAATGAGCAGTTGTGCACATATACACTAAAATGTTAGATCATTTTGCGATTTTTAGAAACTCTGGACTTTTCAATAGTAGATCTACGGAGATGCTATTCACATCCAACAATAACAGTCACAGTGTTTTCTTTCCCACTGTGATTGTGGATAAACCTACCATACCTTCTTTAGATGTGGCTAATGAAACCATTCACAGATTACCAATCCCAGAAAGAGGCCAGTCTAACTAAATATTCAATAGGTGCAGGCTGGGGACAGCCTATCCATTTGGAAAAAAAAACAAGATGGAAAAGTCTGCCGATCCACAAAGAAAATTTGATGATTCATGTAACAATTATATTATACTAAATTCAATGTACAACTAATAAATGTGAAAGCAAATGTGAGGTCTCCTGTAAACAATGGAGCGAAGAGGCACAGGAATCTGCAGCACTCCCCTCTCCCCAATTCACTATTTGCTCAGTGCTCAGCCACAGTGATGGGAAACAGTAGTTCACAGAGTCAAAATGGGGAGTAGTACCAAATCTGTTCCACAGCCAACACTTCACCAATGTCAAAGGTGAAGCATCTGTACTAGCAGGTTTAACAGGTGAATCCAAATGGTTAAGAGTCAACTTGTCTCTCCCATCTTCAAAACTTTTCCCTGAATTAGAAAGCACAGAGACCTAAATAGCTGTAAGAGCAACAGGCAGGTGCTCTGAACTAAACAGGGTTCAACCATATTCTGGATCTTTTGCACATCCAGAGCAGAGGGGGAAAATCTGCCCGGGCCCATAGAGGAAGGCAGAGGCAGACATAGAAAGGCAGACAATAGCAGTCTATCATCATTGCCTACCTCCACCACCTTCTTGACTTCCTATATTGTTTTTCCACTGCAAATGTTATACCCCAAAGTTTGTAAGTGGGATGTCTAAATTTGCCATTTCATTGCCAGCTGTGCCATCATAAAACAAAACAATTTGTTCATACCTAAGTAAAGAAACTACACTCTTCCCCCACCAAGTAACATATGTTGCTCTTCTGTGAAAATAAATCCTGAAACCCTAATACTTATAACACAATTATTATTGAAAGTCACTGCTGAGATATTTTTAAACTCACTGATAGTCCTAATGAACCCTTGGAAACCAGACACTGAAAAGTGTTTACTTATAAAGCTAACCTTGCCGCCCTCCCCTCAGCTGATTTACACATCCAGTCATACACACACACTGGTTTATAGTAAGGAACAGAGGAACTGCCACATCAGTTGCAGAATTTTCCTATGTACCATTATGATATTCAGGCTCGGACTTGTCTACATGGGGAGTTATTCCAGAATAGTCATTTCTGATAAACTCTACATATGGATGATTTTATTCTAGATCAAGAGTACCCACACATGGACAGTTAATCCACTTTAAAATCTTAAATTATTCTGGATTAATTTTCATGTGTACACAAGTCCTTAGAGAGACTGAGTCTAGTCCATGCAGTATCACTACACTGAGGAAAAAAACTGCCTGAATCCAGCAGTGATAAAACTGGACCAAATCCAGAAAGATGCCAATCAACCTGCAGATTTGGTTTCACTGGCAATTGCAAGTCCTCATCCCAACTCAGGATTTGATTAAAGATTTTGCTCTCACTGAAGTTAAAAATAGTTTTATTATTGACTTCAATTTAAGTAGGTTCAGGCTATTGGTCCTTAATACCCTAAACAAGAGGACTGATAACCCTTGTCATTTTTATCCTTTGTTTTATAAATGAAGATGCTGATTTTATTTCTAAACGGCTCTAATCCTTTTATGAACCATGCTTATTTCTATGCTAGTGAGTCTCACAAATTAATTTTAAATTACATAAAATGGATTTTTCATCCATTTTAAATTTGCCAATTTCATGTAGTCTTTGTACTTATAGGATAGAGATGGACAGCTAATTAGCACAAAGATACTGGAATAATTCTTATAGGTTTGCTTCCACCACTGGGCCTAACCAACAGATCAAGAATCAGCAGCTGGGGAGCTTTGCCCTGTAAGCAACTGAACTTCAGTCTTCTGTAAAGCTTATGTTGCTTAATGTCTTCCAATTCCAGTATCTCAAGAATACATAAGCCTTCTGTGGAGCCAAGCACACAAGACCTTCCACAAGTTGCACTCTTAGAGCCAAAGGCACATTGTTATATGTTAAGCTCAGAATTCCTAAGCCTTTGCAGGACCTGGGTCCAAGAATTCATAGCTTTAGTATCCACTGAATAAGTTACTACATAATTACAGATGTGAATTATACATGTTGTTTAAATAAAACAAATAGTTGTAAATGTATGTGTTAAAAGATTAAAACAAAATAAAAGTATGCATGTATCTGAGTCAGTAACATCTCTTAAAAAGAGCTGAAGTTAGACGTTTTGAAAAAGTTCTCAAAAATTTAAAAGTGTTTTATTACTAAATACATGTAATTTGATTAGATTTATAATTATGTAGATAAAATTACACTATTTAATTTCTATGGGAAAGCAATTCATTAAATGTATTCTGACACTTTAGCACTTGATTAAAGAGCTCCCAAATTGCTCTAATATATACAATAGGGGGATGAAATAGAGGATTTAGAAGTCATTAACTGCATACTAATCCTTTAATCTCATTTAGTTTGTGTTCGACCAGCACACAATACTGTAACTATACAGTGTGGGTCACTTACTCATGGAGTTTTACTTTAAGATGATCTACAAGTAAGGTAAATACAAACTAAGTAACCTGTTATGATTATACATCATTATACATTAATGATAAAAATACAATAGCTACATGATCTTGATGCAGGTTAAAGAACTCTCACTAAAAAGTCACAAATTTTAGCCTGGCATATAATATTGCAGTTTAAGAATGACTAAAACCAACTCATGTATAGAACAAGTTTTGGTGAGGATAAAATGTGGGCATTTTGATTAATAATGTTAGTTAATAACATACCATGTTTCTACTTAGGTGCTCTAATTAGACCCAATCTGCAACTTGTTACCTGAAGACAGACTACTGGACTAGCACAGAGAACCAGTGAAGTCTGTGTCTCCCCACACAGCTGAGAAAAATGAGACACAGCTTTAAGTGATTTGTCCATGGCCATAGAATGAATCAGTGGCAGTGCTAAGAATAGCGCTCAGCTATGTCTGACTACAGTCTCCTGCTTAGATCACTAACATACACTAAAAAGGTATACTGAATAAAAAATAATCAGTACTCACAATAGATGGACAAAGTTACTTATTACAACTATGTTTTTGTTTAATAAGAACTTCAGGGAATTTTTAATAAATCAATGGGGTTTTTAATAAGGCTATGTAACAAATTCAATAATATCAGTCTAAAAGATATGCTGGCTTTAAGAACAAATGTTTTAATCAAATTTGTGAGGAAGTTAAAAAAGCAGAAACTTGCTAACTAAAATGTCTGCTAATTAAGATCTGTCATCAGATTTATACATTCAATACTGCAGCTGAAACACCAGAGACGACTACACATACTCATAGGCAGATGTTTTAATGTTTAATACATTTTCAAAGCAGAATCAAATTCTTTCTTAAAACAAATACACTTCTGACATCACCTAAAAGCTTCTCTGAAAACAGTATAATAGTTGTATCACAAGCTCTCATTAAACTAGTGAAAATATTCTATCCTCAAAAGCAGCAGGGGGGAGGGAAGGGGGATAAATGGTTAATGAGGAGAAGATAAATACTAGCAGAATTTAGCTCCAGATGGAATTTTCAACAAGTTCCTTGCTGCCAGCAGCAGACAGGCCAAACACTAAACATGACAGGGCAACTTAAGTAACTCCTTTCTTTCTTTGTTACCAGATTTCCTATAAACTAGTTTTCCTAATCTGTTGGCCTGGAGAAACATGTAGTAAGTATTCAGTGGTAAAGTGGCAACTATCACCAGAAAATCCATTTTGCTATAGTTTAAAGTCCTGTCATACCTTGGTCCTCGATGGGAACAATTATTTCCTTTTCCTGCCTGTAAAAATATGAAGGACTATTACTGCTAAATGTATCAGACATCACAAAGATGGGGCAGAGTTTGAACAGGGATGATTCAAATCTAAGGAAGGGGCAGCAGCAGGTGGAGACCAGGGTAGGTGTTATTGCCACACTTGCTGGGAAGTTCCAGTAATAGATCACTCCCGATACCCTGCCATCATTTCCAACTCTGGCACTCGCTCCCTCCCCAGGCAGGGCGAGGAATCCAATAACCACTCGCCTTGCGCTAACCACACTGGGGGAGCAGGAGAACTAGGTTATCACCCCTCATTGCCCCACTGCCAGCGACAGCAGGGGGCGGGGGGGGGGCGTATCAGGTCTCCCGGGATCCCCTCCCCCAAAGCCAGCCGGG